TAGAAATCTGAGTAGGATATCTATTATTCTTACTTGAATAACTTCCATGCTAGTTATTTTTAGAGTGCAACATTATAAACATATATTAAGGTGTTAATATCGGCTCAGAATGAGCGCAATGTGATGGAACAGTCATTGAAATTACAGTTGTTAAAGAAAAATATTGCATGTAGAGCTTAATATGATTATGTGCTATAATGACTATGTGCATCTACATTTATGCACTATCAAAACCTGACTTTCTACTGAGATCTGAAATCTTTATTTTCCTTCATTAAAAAAAAATAAATAAATCAGTGTAAAGCAGAACCACAACAAACAGAAATCAGAGCTGATGTGCAAAAAGTATCAGCGCTATATCAGGAAAATTAAAACTAAGAAGAAACTTCATCAAAAGAAATTAGATTAAATACAGGTATGAAAAAGCTAAAAAACTTCGTTCCCTTGCAGTAAAAAGTTAGTCCAAGTAAAACATGAACACAAAGCAAAAAGTATCATCCTACCTCTAGATTTGCCTTTAAACTGTTCAGTCTTCGTTTTGTCCTTCATTTACCTTGTTCAGACATATCTGAGTATTTCCCCCTCAAATCACTCAAAAAAAAAAAAAAAATGAGGGAAATAATCCACATGTGCTTGTGTAGCTAAACTATGACGAATACCGACAGTACACTGTTTAAATGTGTCTTGCCACTGCAGACATAAATGTAGACAAGCTGCACAGTTCTTTAAGATGTCTTTTACCAATATAACTGTTTACTCCCTCATAGTATTTCTTATTTAAAAAGACTGACATTGAAAAGAATGTCGTAGTATGCAGTAAAAAAAAATAAGAAATCAGAAACTGTTCAAAATATTCTTTATTGCATGTTATGCTGCTCTAAGGATTTTCACATATGGGTTATATTCTGCTTGTCAAATTGGTCTGGCAATAAATTAAGTTTGTAACAGAAATGGAAGCTACCTAAACCAACATTCCTCAAACTTTTCTCTCTTCTATTAGATTCTATTTCCTAGCATATTAGGAGAGAGTCCAGAGAAAGGCCACAAAAATGATCAGAGGGCTGGAGAACCTTTCCAGTGTGAAAGGCTGAGAGTTGGGGTTGTTCATTCTGGAGAAGAGAAGGTTCTGGAGAGACTTCATTGTGGCCTTTCAGTTCTTTAAAGGGACCTATAAGAAAGATGTGGAAAGACTTTTTAGCAGGGCCTCTTGCGATAGAATAGGTGGTAATGGTTTTAAACTAAAAGAGGGCAGATTCAGGCTGGATGTACAGAAAAAATTCTTCATAGAGTGGTAAAATACGGCAACAGGTTGCCCAGAGAAATGGTAGATGTGCCAACCCTGGAGACATTTAAGGCTAGTCTGGATGTGGTTCTGGGCAACCTGATCTAGATGAAGATGTCCTTGCTCATTCCAGGGGGGTTGGACTAGATCACCTTTGAAGGTCCCTTCACACTGCTCTGTAATTCTAGTATTCTATGTATATATTTACACTATTGATGCAGCTGCAGAATATTGCATATACATATAATCTATCTTTCCCTAAATCCATTGCATAGTCAGTGCTGAATTTTCAAACTCAAGCATTCCTCATCAGTTTCTATTCATCACCCATTCTTCCACGACCCTGTCAAGCCCCTTGCAACACACTCCCCATCTCCACTGGTTAATTCTGCATGTGTTTAGCCAGATGTGTGTTCAACACATCTTCTCCTTTCTTTCCTCATTCCCTCTTCCAAGTTTAAAACAAAGAACCAAAATATTATTATATAGGATATGCAGGATACTATTTTAAACATCCTTTCCTGAATAGACAATTTTTCAAAGAAACAATCTGGTGCAAAATTACTGCTGGAAGAATACTATTTATTTTGCTTCAGTTAAAGTTGTTATTCTATGATGAATTGAATGATTTTTTTTTAAGTTTTAAGAAACACAGTTTCCTAGACTTCAAAGGCAGTTTGAGGTATTCAAATTATTCAGAAAAACAGACCTAACATATATATTGAAATGAAAGAATACTGTATTTTGAAATGGAAAAGTATTTGGAAGAACAAGTCAATTCCACTGTTTTCATGTTGAGAAATTTCTGTGAAAGTGTGAACCCTTAAACACAATTACTATTAAAAGAAAGAGGGGAAAAAGCAATGCCATTGCCCCACTCTGGCCTCCAAGGAAGACTATCTGTAAAATAAGGGACAATATCTGTTGACCAGAGAAAATCCACATGCTTACTAGAGGTGTCTGCAATTTCAGCACCCGTTCAGATTAAATGCTGAATGAATTGTAATCATCAGACCACAACTAGGGAAAATTATAAAAAGAAAAGTGTAGAAAAAAACAGAAGCAATGCTCTCTATTTGAGAATTAACATTTTCTCCAAAGGTCTGACAGATATCAGTAGTAGTACAATAACTAGGTCTGCTGGAAATACTCACTCATCTAGGAAGAGAGCTGGTCAGCTATGCTGTGGGATACTTTTGCTGATTCCAAGCTCAGTAGCTCATTCTTCTCCCTAAATTACTACTACACCTTTGGCATGAAGTACTCCATCTTGATGATGACAATGTTATGGTAACTTTCTTTCTTAAGCTATTTATTACATACAGAAGCTTAGCTGAAACCTTCAGTTATATGTGTTCCGATAATTGAGTAAAAAATCAGTTCTAAACATACCTCCTACTCACTGAGAGGAGATGTCATGTCAACCAGCACAGTACTTTCATGGTTCTGTAGACTGAGTCCCTTGAGCTCCTTTGAGTGTTAGCACCCTTGGCTCCATTTCCTCCCCACCCCAGGGACTCCAATGCTTCTATTACTTTGTTAAACGGAATCTCTATATTGCTGATCCATTCTTGATGGTCTTTGTATTCATGTTGTTCCTGTGTCACATGTCACCTTTCCTGGACACCTCATTCTTACTCTTCTCATTTGAGCTTCTGTCACTTTGAAAATAACTTCAGAGGTTGCCAGAATATAAATTATTATACATATAGTTATGCAATCATAGCAAAACAGACTGGTATATGCTTCAGATTTTGTTTATATATCTCATTAGTAGGAATATGATGGCGAGTCAGTCCTATTAGCACACCATCATTTTGTCTTCATCTAGTTAATAAAACCAAGTGTCTTCCTTGGTTTTCTATCTGTGTAGAATTCAACACTGTATTCTATTTAGGATGCAAGATCTTCCCTGGTAGCTGGATGAATTTTGTGAAGAAAGCAGGCACTCATTTCCTTGCATTAATTCAGTATCCTGCATGGCCGGAGGCACTCATGGGACTATGTGTGAAGGATAACTGGACAAATTTATTTGTCTGTGGGAAACCTGAATACTTGCCTAATCAAAATTAATTGGCATTTTGAATAAGGAGTATGATGGTTAAGTCCATTTCCATTTATATTTAGTTTGAAGTTATTCTATGTAACATGATCTGAAAGTTTAGTGGTAAAAGATGTTCGCATAGACATGCAAAATTCAAAGATCAGCATTTGGCAGTTTTCTTCAGTGGTATTCTACTAATACATACTACTTAACTACTGTTAAGTGAGCTTAATCTGATGAGGCATCTATCACTCATGTAATTTCATTTAAGTGTTTTAAAAGTCATGGCAAGAGACTTTATATCTATGATTGAACTACCAGTTTTAACACATTTTTAATGTGCATAAAGGACAGTTAAAATTCACAATGACCTTAAAATTTAAGTAGCCATAGTTGAGAAAACTGGATTTGGCTGCAAAGACAGCATTTTAAATGTTCTGCCAAAGTTAAGAAGTATGTAAAATGAGGTTGATTGTGTCATGCAAGGTTTTTTTTTCTTGATATTCTCAGTATATTCTGTGTCTACCTTGGATAACATGCACACTCAAGCTTCATTTTAACAATGTTGCTGGTTTATTCAGAATCCAAAAATTTTACTGTAAGTGCTATTATTTGCAGCGCAAACATACACTAACTTATCTTTAGACAACTGAGATTGGATTTAAGGATTGGATCAGGTCTTTCTCTGTGCATTTTACAGTGTGTCCTCTAATTTCAACAAAATCAATAAACACCTCTGTAGGAGTTTATAGTATCAGCAAAATTATTGCATTATATCAATGGCATATACCATTTTTAAAATTGTAATTTATTTTAAAATATATAATCAAAATTAATTTAAATTTACCGTTGTGGATAAGCTGTTAAAATTTTGATGGAATACATGTATTTGGTTTAGCAGTATTTTCAAAAGGAAGAATCAATAGCCTCTGTAGCCCCTCTTGAAGTAACACGTTTCCCTATATGGTAATAATAATGTTAACAAATATGAGGGCATAAGCAGCTTTTATGTATGGTGGTTTTGTTTAGTTTTTGGGGGGTTTTTTGTTTGGTTTTTTTTTTTTTGTTCCTGTACTTGTAGCACACGGCAGAGCTGCTGAAGAGTAAAAATAAATGTTGTCATATTCATATAAGTATAGAAATGAAAACTGAAACCTTAAAATATATTAAAAATAATGTGTTGCATATAAAAAGCAAGAAAAGACTAATGAGTTAAATGTGATTATTGTATTTAACTGATGTATTCCCTTAACTCAGATTGACATAATTTTTCAAAGAAATGTTAGTTTCATCATCATGTCATTTTCACCATCAGTGAGTAGACACTGACCTCCTCTACTTTGTCCAAGGCAGACAGACGCCATGTTGTTTAATTCTTTAAGAAAAACGTGTTACCTTCATAATACTGCAGTGAAGCCAGACTGGCTTTGCATGCAAGAAGCTCTGGATGTGATAACATTTTGATCTGTATTATATAATTGTATATATTTGCTATAGTAGTGAAACCATTATACTGAAAGATACTGCTTTAATTAAACCTCAAACTCCTCTTTTCTTCTTGGTTCATTAAGTACATTCTGAACTTTACAATCTAAGTTTGGTTTTATTTTTCTTTTCCCTTTATTTCTTCTTTTTAATCCTTTGATTGTTTTTCATCCAGGCCTTTGTTGGCAGATTCATCTGACATTACATTATATGATGCTGAAGAATCATGTCAGAGAGGTCTTGTTTATATGTATACATTACTGTACATAACATACAGGCAAGGGTAAAAACATCTAGTGGTGTATAATGTAGATCACCACTGGAAAGCAGGCCTTTCTTCAAATCAGCTGCTTTTAACTGAAAGCAGATGCTACAGAACAGAAGATGAATATAAGAAGCAGCTATTTCAGTACAGTCAGGTTGTTGAGCAGGGTTCTTTCATCAAGGACCGTGGGACTTGTTGGGGACTGTGACACAAAGTATTCATTTTATCTTAATGACTTTTGTATTTTCAGAAAGTTTTATAGTTAGGGATATGTTGCATTTATTCAGTAAATTCTCTACTTCATATGTGTAAAACAGTGAAGAATGTCATGCAGTATAAATGATTTAGTGCATGCAATCTCAAAAAAAAATGCATGAACAGTCCCAGAATAATGGAAAAAAAAGAAAAAGAGTTATTGAGTATTCTAACCATGCTGTAGTTTGCTCCTGCATTGATAGAATAAGCTGCTATTGCCACTGGTAAATGGAATATGTAGAATAAAAAATTAAAAAAAAAACCACAAAACCTACCAAACAAAAAACAGAAGAGAAGATGTACATTTTTACTTTTGCAAGATGTTTCTAAATCCTAGGATCAAAAAAAAGTGGTTGGGATATTTGCATTTAAAACTCAGAAGTTTTGTTTAGTCTGATTAATCTGATGAGTATTTTGATAGATTTGGTTGTTTTTAAAGGACCAAACAGTAATAAAATAGCTCCTTCTTACTGAGCACAGTTAGTGGTAGGCTGATGTTCTGTGTTTTCAGCATCTTGACCATGAGGAACTTTCGTAACAAGAAATTTATCATACACCTATGGCCAGTAAGTCCAAAGACAACTGGAAATTGGAAGAAGACTGTCTTCAACACTGTAATGAAGTGTAATGACAAACTTTTTGCTGAGATTAGACTATATTATTCTCTCAAATTCAATAAAATATATGTTAAAATTTAGTCTTAAAAAGGGAATCCAATAGTAGCTTGTTGCTCTTTATTAGAATATATATATATTAGAATGCAATATTTAAAATCTGACATTTTAAGAATGAAAAGACTGAATTCAAGGAAAAATAGGGAACAACTCTTTTTTGTTTTATTAATAAAGAAAATGACGTAGTTTTGTGAGATATTTCAATCTAGATGCCTAAAGAAGCTTAGTTTCAAGATAGGAAGCAGACAGAGAGAACAATTTGTGGAATACAGGCCTGCCCAATACATATGAAAAAGAAATATTTTTTTTATAGACAATAGGTATACTGGAAATAAATTGGCAAAAGCATGTGTCTGATGAACCCTGTGATCTATGTTTCAGAGCAGCACCCAGTGTTTTAAGCTATAATTTAAAGCGACGAGAGAAACTGAACTTGACTTTGAGTGTGATTAGTTGTGCAATACCTTCTACTATGATGATTAAGATAACAATGTGTATTTAAATTTATGTTGTCACTTTCATTTCTGTCATGTAAAGTCTTTGATTTAAAAATATATGGAAACACAGTCTTCAAAGGAAAATACATAAACAAAGCACTCTTGCCCTTCTGTGTATTCTTTCAATACTTTCTGTGAATATAAATCATATGGACGAGTTTGTTCTCTCTTTAGGCAGGGTTTTTCATAATGCATCTCCACTGGGACTATGTATGTGTATAGCAATTTTCTTAGAGAAGATGGAAGGTGAAAATATCTTGGCAGATTGTTTAATATTTACTCAGAAAACCTGCCCAGATCCAGTCCTCAGTTTTGTAGTATATTCCGTGCATGGTCTTTGCTTTATCTGATATACAATTTTGCAGGGGAGTACATATATATACATATATATAATGTCAATGACACGTGAATACTTGTTATATTTAATGAAATAATTATACACATGATAGGAAGAAATGTTTTTCTCCACTTCCCTTATGTGTTCTATTTTCCAGTTTTCCACTATTCATTCTTTATAATACAGACTGTAACTTGATAGAATTGAATGAATAAGAAAATTTATCTGAATTTAGAGGGAGGTTTGGGGGATTGATTTTGAAGGGGTTTTTGAGTGTGGGTGCTTCTTTCTGTGATCTTTCTAATTCACACACAACCTGGATTAGGCCAAAATAATCTACTTCAATAAACCCATGTAAATGCAATTAGATTAATATGAATGCCTCTAAATTACATTATTAGATTACATGTGCAAAGTAAACCATGGCAACAGAGGAAGAAAGAAGAAAGAACAACAGCACAAGGGAAAAGAATGGTAATTTCTGTTTTTTCTCCCAGAGAAAACGTCCCTTAATGTGTTTGAGAAAACTGTCTGGTAACTCTGACATCTTTAGCTATATACATAGTTCGATTGCAATCTGAACTGTTTTATCCTTTTCATTCTTACACTATATGCAGAAACTAAATTTGTAAGTCAGATGCAGGTGACATTAGAAAGTAAATCAAAATGTCTAATTAGAATTTCAGGAAAATTCTATGGAATACAAGCCAGGTCCTTGGCTCAGTTTGGTTTCCACTTTTTAAAAAGTCAGGCTAAAAGGTTCTCCAATCATTTCTAGAGGAACAGAAAAAGCTCCATTTTAGCATGCAAAGAATTGTGTGTGTGTGGTTTTCTTTGTTTCTTTTTGCTAGAGACACAAACAGACCAAAATAGTTACATATCTCCTCAGTAAAATGTTAGAGACACACTCCCCTATTCAAGGTCTTCTCAAATTAAACAAATAACATCCCTGATCTCCATGTGAATGAAGGAATTATTAAAGATGAAACTCATTATGGTTCTATTAATATGTCCTTAAATTTAGCATGTCACCTGTCTATCATCTATGGTTAAAGAGGATGCAAACAGAGGTAAGTGAATGTCACTATACTTTGTGCTGGTGTCTAGACAAAACCTTTCCTGGGGTTAATGTCTGGAACTGCACAAACTTCTTCATGCTTTTTCAAACAGATTCCTTGAGGCCCTTAACATTGAAATGCCATAGCTTCCTATTATTATTAATCCTTTCTGGACTTCAAAAGTTATTTAGACATTTAGTAAAGCCAGCAAGAAAGGAATGGCATCAGTCATTTCTTGTCTCAAAATAGAGTTGTAGAAGGAACAACTTACTCCCAGCTTTTATATGACTGTCACAGCGCAATAGCTTACTGTACAATGTAGACCAAATTTTATCTGCCCTACATTCTTTTCTATATGGGAAGTTTCAGCTATTTCAGGATGAAACAGATACAACTTTCATCCATTTTGTAGAAACTAGGCTGTTTTGCCAGAAATAGACTAAGGACAGTTTGAGTTTAAGAGATAGCATAGGCGATGAGCAGAGTCCAGTCCTTACAGTGCTGTTTTTGAGAAGGTGCACACACCTGATTTCATTTTCATTTTCAATGTTAAAATCATTTCTCTCAAAGAAGTTGAAGCCTTTCATGCTTTTTGAGAATAGTGTTCTCAATTCTTATAATTCCTTCCCCAAAACATTGGTATTTTATTAGTTTCTACAAAACCAGATATTTTTCACAATAAGGGCAGATTTCAATTATAAAGTACGAACATCCAAATTTAGATGTCTTAGGAAGAGTTGTAGCCAACATAGTATGCTGTAGCCAACTGAAAACAGTGAGCAGCACGGAAGAACTCTTTCTCTTATCTGAACAGATGAACAACTATCTAGACAAGATTAACTATATTAATTAACATTCTAACATTTACAGTGGGAGCTGGTGTCTGGACACTTGTATTTACATGCCTACAGCCTGAAGCTTTGAATACAATTGTGGAAGAAATGGAAAAAATTGACTAAAAAGTCCAGTCCATTTCAGATGTTACTGAAAGATATGTTTTTGAGTCCTGATAGATAGAAAAGGAGACTTAGCTTTGGTCTTCCTTATTTGAGAAGTGATCTGATTATGATTTTTTTGTAAACGGGCATAAAAATGGAAGATCTTTCTGCTCAGTGCAAATTTTTCTTGACTTTCAGAAATAACGATTTTTAATAAGAAAGCTGGGGGCTGATGTAACATATTCCTGTCCTCCAATCTTTTGCTTCAGCTCTGAATACAAAGCTAAGTAAACATACCAATTTTCCTCAATGATTTTTTTTTAGACTTGTAGATTTTTTGTTTAAATTTCTTTCCGAAATCATAAAACCTGAAATTCCATTCATGATGTAGTTTAAAAGTCGAATTAAAAGTTTTACTATCTTTTAAATTTCTTTGGCTTCGCTAGATTAGAATTTACTTTCTTTGACAATCAAGCTTTAAAATAAACTAATTAATTTGTTTGGATTTGGATTGTACATAGTTATATTCTGCAACTAAGTACTTTATGGCCAAAGATAAATCTTGATCTTAAAGAAATGAGTAAGTTCCATGGTTTTCTTTCAGAGAAAATAAAGCAGAAACTCTAGCCTAAATTTTCTCTTACTCTGTGGAAAGAGTAGTGCAGCCTCTGATTTTTTTCTTTTTTCCCTCATTGCAAATCTCTTTCACACCTCCCGTATTTTATTCTTAAAGCTTGTACCCTCTCTGGCATCTTGGCTTTCCCACAACACAGAGATTAATTCATTACAGGGGAAAAAAAATATTCTTTTACATAAGTGTTGTGGTTAGCACAAGGGTACCTTGCCTACACCTGATGACTCATCCTATCTGCATCACCATACAGTCTTCAGAGGGCACATTCAAGACAGAAATGGGGATATTGCAGAATCAGGACTGTGGAGAATGGTGTTTGGTGTCTAAAACTGGATTTCACTGAAGTCAGATAATTTTCTGATGGCCTAAATCAGACACTATTGAATAAAACAGTCTTTCCATGAGTTTCAAAGAGTTTCAATACAGTTTTCTATAGACTAGGAGGTGGTGAATGTGTTTTATCTTCTGTTTAGGAGTTTCATGCTTTAAAACCCAAAAAATTGTAGTGGCAAAGTAAATAATTGTAGTGTTTTCTTCAGACTTTCATACATTAATTTGCAAAGCTCACTTTCATAAAATGACAAAGTACAATAAAGCTGTGTCTCCACATCAGCAATGTGATGACCATCCAGTAAAGAAAGATCAAGGTTGACATTTGAACAGTGACTTCATATTCTTCATCGTGGTATTATAATTACAAAAGAACAGTACAACATCAGTATTCATAATGCATTATGTTCACTTATTAAAGAGTGTTCGGTTGAATGAAATACTACTTTAGAATCTCATTTTAGAATCTCATCTTCTATAAGTCTGAACAGATCACTTGAGTGGAAGTGAAGTTTGTTCTGGTTTATAAATTGTGGTATCCTGTTGTCACTT